AGAGAGGGTTTCTCTGTGTAGCCTCGGAGCCTGTCCTGGAACTAGCTCTGTACTCCAGGCTGGCCTCGAACTCACAGATATCCCCCTGCCTCTGCCTCCTGAGCGCTGCCACCACCGCCCAGCCCCATACTATTTTAAAAACTAAGAGTAAAGAACCAGCTTCAAATTGGTTGAACTGTCTAGAGATAGCTCTATAATCTGTAAGGGACCCCTTCCCTCAGAACTGTGGGGGACCCAGGAGGCACAGCAGACTATAAGGGCCCCTTCCCTCAAGATTGCTGGGGACCCAGTGATGGCATCTACTAATGTACATGTAGAATGGACTGTGCTGGGGTATGGGTGTTGGCACCTCTACTCCCCTGTTCTAGTAGGCAAAGCAGGAGACAGGCCACCCTGTAGTCAGTGCCTGTAGGTCTCTCTTAAATGAAAGAGTACCCCTGTGGGGTAGGCAGCAGAGCTAATTGGCCCCCAGGACTCTGTCTGCCCAAGTCTCCTGTCCTGTGCTGCCTGATGTACCCTCTCCCCAGCTTGCCCCTCTATGACCCCTCCCTTGGCTCATTCTGGTTACTGGTATCTCTGCCCTCAGCATCATCAGCTGGTTCGTGCGGTCCTTCAAGTACGTGTATGGCCTTCGCTTTGAGGTCAGAGGCCAGAAGAAACTGGAGGTGGATGGTCCCTGTGTCATCATTTCTAACCACCAGAGTATCCTGGACATGATGGGTAGGCTGTCATCAAGCCTTGGCCACAGAGACGGTGGCCTTTTTCATCACAGGTCCGGGGTGGGCTGGGTGGTCCTCTTGCTGGAGTTGGTTTGCAGGACAAGACCTATGCGTCTCTCTAACCACGGGCTTCCCTCAAGCTGGGCAGTAAAAGCAGCAGGCTGTACCAGACACGGAGCACAGGACTGCATTAGAGACAGGGCCTTGACAGGTGGACCACCAGCCCCTCCTTCCCAGGGAGTACCAAGCTGGGCTCTGAAACTATTCTCTTGTTCCCCATACCCCGCCCCCTTTGTCTGTGTCTCTCTTCCTGTCTTTTTTAACCCCATTCTGCCTTCTCTCTCTCTTGTGTCTCATTTCCCCGTTTCTCCCCATCTCTTTCTCTGTGTCTCTCAATCTCCATCTCTGCCTCTCCACCGCTGACTTCTTTTCTCTCCTCTCTGGGTCTTTCCATCTTGCTTGTCTCTCTCTCTCTGGTTTCTGCTTCCTTGGTCTCCCCTGCCTGCTTCTGTCTCTCACTATATTTCTCTATCTCTCTTACGTTTCCCCGTCCTCTCTCACTGTTCCCACATCTCTGTCTCCATGTATCATCTCTCTTCCCTTTCTGTCTCTCGCTGTTTCTCTCTCCCTCTTCCTTCCATAGGCCTCATGGAGATACTCCCTAAGCGCTGTGTGCAGATCGCCAAGCGTGAGCTGCTGTTCACAGGGCCTGTGGGCCTCATCATGTACCTCGGGGGTGTCTACTTCATCAACCGCCAGCGTGCCAGAACTGCCATGTCCCTGATGGCCGACCTGGGTGACCTCATGGTCAAGGACAATGTGAGTATAGGCACAGCAAGGCAAGGTGGGCTTCGGGGAAGGGCAGTCCAGCTCTCTGGGGTGGCTAAGCAGGGTGGGGACAGCCTAAGCAGCTTTTCCCTTTCTGCTGGCAGCTCAAAGTGTGGATCTACCCAGAGGGAACCCGCAACGACAATGGGGACCTGCTGCCCTTTAAAAAAGGTGCCTTCTACTTGGCCATCCAGGCCCAGGTAGGCCAAGCTGTGCCCTTCTGGGGTCGGGGGTTGGGATATGGGTCAGGATGGTTTAAGGTTAAAGATGATATCCCAGCCAGACTGGGGACTGCTGGCCTTCAGGGACCTCCTCCACCACGTTGGGAAAGGGCCTCCCCACCAGCTTAGCCCCTAGCACCTGAGCAGGTTGGTGACCCTTGACAGCTCCCGAGAGTTTGAACAGCAGCCTCCCCACACCCTAGCTGGCCAGGTGGGTGGTCTCCTTCATTTGGGATTTCCTGAAAAGTAGGGGTGGGGCCAGTGAGTAGGTGGTTTGCTCAGCATGATAAAGCAGATTGTGCCTAGAATTTCCCCTGACGCCCCAGGCCTTGGCTTGATCATGATGAGGCTTGAGCAGCAGGCACAGGCTAGTAGCAAACCCAGTCCTGAGCAGCACAAGCGAGCTCTATCCTGGACCCTGGACTTCCCTTAACCCTCAGCCTGGGGTGGGAGAAGACAGTGGGTATCAGGAGTTTCCCTGAGCTGAGCATCTGCCATGGATCAGCAGGTCCCTGCTGTGGGAAAGCCACCGCTGGGGGACAGGGACAGGGATTTTTATCCTGCTTTATTGTTTGCTGCCTGGCAAACCTCAGCCCCCTCTGCCCCTGTAGCCGGCAGCCTCCTGGGCCCCTAGGCCCAAACCCCATACAAGATGGCGTGTGCCCTTTCCCTGAAGCCCCCACCAGTTCCAAGGGGTTGGGAAGCCCAGGCTGGAGGAGCAGGAGACTGCACTGTGTCTGATCTTGGGAAAAGAGAGAGACTGGGGCCTATGGTAGGGGCAGGAGAATCCGGATATAGCGTTTCCTGCCCCTCCCCCAGGGACTGTCTAGGGTACAGCCTACCTACCTTCCCACCCAGGCTCTGGCATCCAGGGTTAATTATTACCCCAGTGCCATCTGTCATCATTGGAGCTGACCCTTGGGCCTTCCAGAAATACCAACAGGCTCCAGCCCCCTCCCCTGGTGTCCTGGGACTGAGACAGGGTGGGAGGGGAGGGGAGGATCAGCACCATCCACCTCCCCAGTGCTAAATGGAATCCCACCCTTCCACTTCTAGGGTACTTTATGTCCCAGCATAGAGGGGGGTTGAGGGGAACTGACAAACATTAGCCCCGAGAGCTTCCTACACAGGGTGGGTCTGTGAAACACCAGGCCACCCGCATGGAGGGGTCAGCCACAAGGACGCCTAGCAGCAGCCGAGGCTCCCTTGTAGTGTCGTCCCTCAGCACGGGTCCCTCTCCACAGGTGCCCATCATCCCTGTCGTGTATTCCTCCTTTTCTTCCTTCTACAATGTCAAGACAAAACTCTTCACCTCAGGTGAGCCCACCAGAGCCACACAGGAGCTCACCAGTCTGTCATGGTCTCTCTTTTTATTTATTTTGAGACGGGTTCATGTACCCCAGGTTGGCCTGCAACTCCTTATGTAGCAGAGGATGACTTGTTTAGCAGACGGAGTCCTGGACCCCTAGTAGTGGCGTTCCCACATCTGGGTGTGGAATGAATGAATGTCGGCCCAGCATTGCATCATCTCATTGCTCTAAGTGGGTTTTTCGATTTTTCAGACTGAAAAGCAGGTTCCAAACATAATTGAGTTCCTGCGATAACTGTTTGTCCAGGCTGTGCAGCACAATTAGGGACCTGTAGTGACCCCTGCTGGTGAAGGGTGGGAATTGTAAGCCGTCTGGGCTCCCCTACTCTCACAAACGCAGCCTCTGGCTCTTCCTTTATGTCACTGGCTTCTCTGCCGGTACCCTGACCCTGCATGTGGGTTATGTGACACTGCCTTGGGAGTCAGAGCGGGGTCAGAGGTCTCCAGCATCTGAGCCCCTGATGCTCAGCACCGTGGAGGACTGTAGGACCAAGTGTGACAAGGGACACTTGGGGGTTACTGAGTGCACTTTCAGGGGCAGAGATGTCCTGAGTCATTGGCAGTGGCTACAGGGGAGGGTGGAGTTACTGAAACATTTCCATGTTGCCTTGATTACAAGCATATGTGCCCCGCCCAGGAGCTGAGGATGCTGGCCTGGCTCTGGTGAAGAGAGGCTGGGCAGTAGGAGGCCAGGCGAGGAGGGTGGGTGGTAGTAAGTGGAGCCTCTAAGTCCCTGACATCCACTGCTTCCTCCCCAGGAACAATCAGGGTACAAGTGTTGGATGCTGTCCCTACCAGTGGCCTTACGGAAGCCGATGTCACCACGCTCGTGGACACTTGCTACCAGTCCATGAGGGACACCTTTCTACAAATTTCCCAGATGCCTCAGAACTCTGCCATTAAGGAGCCTGGGGTTGTGCCAGCCCAGTAGCCCAGGCCACAGGGGCAGGGGAGCTGGGGGAAGGCAGATGGGAAGCAGAGGCTGGAGGATGGACAGAAGACCCTTCTTTCCCACCTACCAAACATCATCTTGTCCCGCTCCTCTGCTGGCCTGGCTCTCACTGGGGCCTGGAAACAGGAAGCCCTTTCTGTCACAGGCCTTAGACCCAGGATCCCCATGTAACTTCCCACTTCGTCCCTGTGTCTCCTGAATGTGGCCATTCAGCAAGTGGGCTGACCCCCAAGACCACGAGGCACCTAGGAGTAGGCAACACGAAGCAGGATCAACACTCAGGAACCCGGTAATGGCCTGCATCAGGCCATCAGGAAGAGGAGGAACTTGGTCTCCCAGTCTCAAGGAAACCTGGGTCCCACAGCACCAGAGGGCAGAGCTATCCTCACTGTCCAGTCTCAGTCACAAGTCACTGCTGTACTTGGTCCTTTTTTTTTTCTTTTTTTTTTTTTTTTGTATAAATGAACTCTGAGAAGCACCTTGAGACCAGGGGTCTCTTTCAGAGGATGGGCAAGAGCCCCTCCCCAGACTTCCATCCAGGGATACAGGATAAGGGGGTTATATAACCACCCACATCCCTTCTCTGCGGCTGCAGTGTGTTAAGTTCCCTGCTCCCCACAAGCTGCCTGCAGGAGATGAGCTGTGATCGGCCAGTGATGCTTTTCTCTGTGGATGTGTGGGGTTCACAGAACTGAAGGGTAGGCAGGCCGTGGGCCTGGTGGCATGACCCGCCTGTTAGCCTCTGGCTGTGTGTGGAACCAGCAAGTCACCAAGGGAAAACTGGAGCCCCAGTACCTTCCTGCTGCAGCTCCTTTTCTCAGACAGGCAGGTTCACTAAAGTGAACTGAAGCCTCCAGGGCAGGAGTACAGGGCATGCCCAGTCCCAATTCACCCGCCGACAGCAGCTCAAGTCCCAGCTTTATTATGACAAAGATGGGGACAATCCTGACCTCACCTCTGGACAGGGTGCTCTCGTACCTTTTCTGGAAAGATCCCACTCCCCATGCCCAAGTCCTAGGAACCTCCTGAGAAGGAGGGCCTTCTGCTCACAGGCACCACCAGATAGCACCTGAAGTCTGACTGGAAGGGATGTAGAGGCGGCAGCTCAGTCCAGCCTGGGTGGTGAGATGCCATCACAGATCTTTTTTGCAAGAGCCTAGAGCAGAAAAGGAAGGGGGGTGCAAACTTGCCAATCTGTGTATCCCCAGCGGTAGTTCCATCCACCCCATGGGTTCCCTAGGATCTCTGGGCGGGGAGGTGTGACACTCACAGGACCCTAGCTGCTCCTCCAAGAAGGAGACCTGCTCACTCAGGGAATCAATACGGTCCAGCTGCTGGAAGGAGTGGGTCAGCAGGCTGCCAGGGTCTCGCAGCCCATGCTCTGTGGCCCGAGAGGCCAGGCTGTACAGTGGGGCCAGCACCAACTGGAGTTTCTGTAAGGGAGGTTGCAAAGAAGCCAAGTGACCCCTCTTAACCTCTATTCATGAGAATGTAAGGAAGGACCAGCAGGGGGTGATCTGTCCTCAACGGAGCTGTAGCAGCAGGGGCCCTGATTGCAAACAGAGGGAGCCCAAAGGCTAAGTAGACGCCCTTGTATAACACACCCACAACCTAGCTAAAAGATCCTGGGACCCTAGAGATAAGCTAGGAAGGTCATGGGGCCTGTGGCTTGATGAGACTTGCAAGACAGCAAGTATAACAGGCTAAGTGGGCTCTGAACCTCAGTTCCTTCCAGGCTGGCGAATCCCACACAGTGCTGCCTGGCATGGTAAGAAAACCAGAACCCCTACAGCCCTTCCGCCATAGAACCTCCAACCACCCCATGGTTTGGAACCACAGCCTCAGAGACTATGGGGTCTGGACACCAGCGAGAGCCACTCCCAACAAAGCCTCACCTGCTCCAGGACATCAACCCGGGTCTGCAGCCTGTGCACCTCCTCCCTCACCATGCTGTCCATTCCTGGGGGCAGATCCGGGTACTGATCAGAGGAGTTTCCTGTCCCCCTCTTCCCCCAATGAGCTCCTAGCCTTAGGAAGACCTGTGTCTCCTGCCACAGCTGTGGGAGCAGACCCTGGGGATGCAAGGTCTCTGGGTGCTGAGGTCTTGGGTCTCGCATGCTAATGGTGGTCCTTACCCAGGTCCGATGCACCCCTGGTGCTGGGCTGCTGACAACGCATTATTACTCACGGTACGAGTTTGAAGTGTCACAGCGCGTACCAAAAGTAATAATGTGCCGTCACCAGCAAAGACGTGATGTCTCCAGGCTCTTTCACACAACTGGCTGAGATGAGACTCCAGGTATGCCTTGTCTCCCCCATAATACCTTCCAGAAACCTCTTCAGAGGGAAGTGGCCCCTTCCACCCAGACGAGGAACCTCCCTCCTGCCCAGGCAGTCTGGGCTCAACCCTCACAGCATCGTGCTGACCTCCATGCAGGGCTAGCTGCCCTCTGTGTCCCCCATGCTCAGCTCAGCCACAGAACAGCGCTCAAAACACAATAACCACCCGAGTCCGTCGCAGCAGGGTGGAAAGGCAAGATTACCTGTTGTGGGGTTTGGGGCCACCAGGGAGGGCCCCTCTTTGGGCAGGCAGCGCATTCCATCTGCAGATGGGCTTTGCCCCTCCCAGCACTGGCACCAGTAACTGCCCACGGTATTGACACAACGCTGGGGACAACTGGCCTCTCCGGTACTGCATTCATCCACATCTGTAGGAAATGAGGGTGTCCAGTTAGTGTCTATAGAAGGCAAGGGCCTGGCCACAGACCCCTGTTAAAACCCACCTATCAATGGAAACCCACTTCAGCCAGCAGTAACCTAGGATCCACAAGGCACTAAGAAGACCTCTCCTTCAAGACGAGTGGGGCTTACCTATCTGGCAAGTATCTCCCTGCCATCCCACAGGGCAGCGGCAGTGGCCTGGGCGGATGCAACTCCCTCCGTTCCCACATGGAGGCTGGCATATGGCTGTGGGCAGAAGAGGCCAGTCTGTCACCAGCTCTGGAGGGGGTCTCCAGAGCCCTATGGCAGCCAGGGAAGCACAGCTTGTGGGGGCAGAAGGCAGCAGGGTTTCTGCTGGGCAGTTGGAAGTGGGGTCTCACACATCAGACACTGCACACTGCCCTCACCTGCTCCACAAGCCCCAGGGAGCCCGCTGGTCCTCTTCCAACCAGGGCAGCAGGCATAGCGAGGCCTGGCGGGAGTCGGCCCAGGGCTGCGGCGATAGGCAGTCCGGTAGATGGTTCTGTGGTGAACAGATGTGGTTCAGAGGGGCCCAACGTGGATGGCCCAGGCCAGGCCTTCTTTAGGTACAATGAGCCCTGTTCACCTCATCTGTTTTGGGGATATCTAGCAAGGATCACTCCCAGGGTCTCAGAGGTTCCCTTTCCAAGGCCCAGCTCGCTTGACACAGACAGGGTCAGCATACAGGCCTGTGTGTACCACTCGATCCACCAAGCTTCTGATGACACACAGGCCCAGGAAGCAGCCCAGGGCTGGCTCCTGCAGTGGCCACTTCAGAGCTGGCTAGGGCCTGGCTTGCTTTGCTTCCTGGGCTCTGGGCCCTGGTGCTAAAGCGGCTCTCTGACTCCAGCACTCCCGTAACTTTGGAGGTTCAGAAGTCTCTGAAACCAGGCATCTTGAGCCCGGGGCCAGAGCTCATGCACCTAGGCCTTCCTCGGGTGTTTCTGGGCAGGGAGGAGGCTGAGTTCCCCACATCAGAACAAGGACCTGCCCTCTTGGCTGCGTCCTGTGCTGCTCAGGTTGTTCTCTTAGCCTGGTGGGACATCGGATTGCCCACATGGACAGTGACCCTATGAATAAGAACTTCTAGCTAGCAATGCTGGGAAGGAAGGAGTAAACTCTGAAAGTAGCGGAGTACAGATGTGATGAGAAGCCCCTATACATGTGGGGGATGCCCTTTGAGGCGACATCATCTCAGAGGACAATGTTGGGCATGATTACACGGCATCCTTGGGTACCAGCCTCCAAAGCGGAGAAGCCACCTAGATCACTGATGTCAAGAATACCTCACTACTTTGGCCTCAGCTCCCCCGCTCAGGGTGAGGCAGGCTCTTGGGGCTCCAAGGATTGATTGCTCCTGTGTGGCGATGGGGGATGGGCAGTGGGCACTCACCGGTAAGTGCTGCAAGCTCGGTGCCCATCACAAGTGGTGAGGAAAGGCTGATATACACGCTGCACAAAGGACTCCAAGACGGGCAAGGCAGGGCCTCCTGAAACTCCCACGGCACACACTCTGCGGCTATAGGGGATGGGGCGGCAGAGGGACAAGAGCTAGGACACTCCAAGCCCAGATACGTGGAAACATAAGGCATGGGGGCTTCCCAGTGTTGCTGTGACCAGGATCTTCAGCTGGAGCCCACAAGGAGTTATCTCCAAGAATTGGGGCCCACCTTGGGCAGGGTTAAGGAGCTCTAGACATGACCCCAGCACCCCAAGACCCAAGCCCTTGCTCACCTGGGCCTGTAGACATGCTCGGTACCACCTGCTGCCAACACTAGACACCATGCCACAAGCAACTGTTGGGAGCCCCACATGGTCTATGTCTCTAAGCAGAGTAGCCTTCTTTTGGCGGCCTAAGGATAAAGGTTGGGTCCTGTCAATCCCCTGTGGAACTCAGGCTTCCAGCAGCGTCTGTACCCACTTACTGGGTGCTGAAGCCACCATTACCCCAGGGGATAGCATCCAAAGGCAATGCTAGCTCTCTCCTGCCTATGGCCCATCTCTACCACTCAAGTTGGCCCCTCGCCAAACACGGAGAGCTAGGCCTGCTGACCAGGACTCTTGGGGCAGGAGGAACCTGAATCCTGCTAGGATTAGGGGCAAAACCCAGAAGACAGGTTCTGGGTGGGACAGAAGTTGGCAACTAAGCCAGTCCTCCCCATACCCAGACCCCAAACTGGATTGAGGGCTTTTCCTGAATCTTCCACCATCTGAGGTGGAATGCGGTGAAGAGGTGAATGGGGCTGAAGCCGGCACAGCAGGAGACTTCCTATCCCAGGTGGTCCTTTTGGACTTGGGCTTCTTTGTCAAATGCTCAGCAAGCCCCCAAGGCAGTCTGGATTTCACAATGTACAGATGTCTGCTACCTGTAGGTGTGCATGTTCTGGCCAGCATGGGGGTCAACAGCTTGCAGGGAATACTACTCTTAGACTAGAGTATGCGTATAAACACCTCCCAGCTGCCCTATTGTGCTCATGTCTGGGGCATAATGGGACAACCTCCTCCCCCCCAACATGTCTTCAGAGCTCATCTCCAGCCTTCTTCCGGCTGTGTGTTAGGGAGCAGGAAGGCTGGTGAGGAACACAAGAAACCCCAAGCCAGATTTAATGCTCTGTGACAATGCCAAAGGGACTGAGTCAGACCTGTGCAGGGGGAGGGGCAGCTGTCCCCCTGTCCAGCACAGAGTCAAGAGTGTGGGAGGCTGGCAGGGCTCCACTCAAGGTGCTTCCTAAAGGGGCAGCTTCCCCCTCCCCAGGCCCAGCACGGCTCTACAGACCCACTACCCCAAAGGAATGGGCCAGGAGACAGGTGTGAAGGCACCTGGGGTAATCACTTTCTGTGAGACACCCCTAGGATGTCTGAGGCCCCTCTGTCCCCTCAGTGATGGCATTAAATGGTTACTGAGCTCTGGCCGCTAGCTCAGCCCCTCTTCAAGGGTTATTCCGAGTCCACTGGGTCCTACACCACAGTCAAAGGCAGGAAGATGAGAGGGAGCCTCCTCCCTGTAATCCCTATCCGTCGAAGGAAGGCAGAGATGAGTCATGGAGACTTAACGTGGGGGCAAGAAGACCATAGCAGGTGTGTGTCCTGCAGTCTGAGCCAGCTTGGGAAAATTAACCCTGAAGGGAGAGCACCCTCAGGGGGTGGGCATTATCGTGCCAAGCAAATATCAAATGGCCCTGAGGAATGGGGCCTAGAAAGAGATATAAGCCGGTGTATGACATGGGCGAGAAGGGGTCAGAAGTTTACAATCCCTGTGTGCCTAGCCCCTGGGGCCTGGAGGGTTCCTCTCCAGATGTTATTGCCCCCACAAATCTTAGTCCACAGCCACCTTCCTAGACTAGGCTGTCTAGAAAGGGAACTGTGTTTTGAAACAGGAGAAGCAATTTTGAAAAGTCATGTTTTGCCCAAGGCCAGAAGAGGCCAGCACAACAACTGGGCCAGCAGCTCATTTCCTTTGGTGTTCAGCCACTATGTGCCCCCTGCCATGAATCAGGCACAGGCTGTGGTGTGGCCTTCAAGTTGACAAGTAATCATGAACCCTCAAGTATCACCATGGGCCCTAGCAGCCCCTCTCCACCTACCGCTCAGCAGCCCCCAATGGGGGAGACTGGTCCGTCAGAGGAGGAGCCTGGACACCGCAGGAAGAGGGCCCTTGGCCCCTTTGCTGCAGGACAAGTGTCTGGACATCAGCACCCACGGATTGGTGTGGAGAGACCAGAGGGACTCGGTGGGGGCGTCCTCTCCACGGCCTTGCCCCTGCCCCTTTCCAGGCTCCTTGGCGGTAGGGGCAGAGTGTGACACCCCCCTAGGACGACCCGACTGAGCTAAACTGGGGGTACTGCAACCATGGTGGAGGTCGCATGGCCAGGATGGGTAAGGGGGGAAAGGCGCTCCGGCAGCCAGCAGGGGTCGCCATTTCTCAAGGCCCCTGGGCTCATTTTTTCTGGCGGCTGCAGGACCCGGGCTGGGGCGTGGGGTCCGTGCGCGGCCCAGCCGCAGCCCCGGCGCGCTCACCTCTCGGGTCCCTGCGATCGCTCGGCGTCGCCTGGGTGACCTACCCCAAGCTTGGCACCCGACATTCTCGGTCACCCCAGGCCCACCAGGGCTGCCACCATACCCCTGCCCCCAGCGCCCCGACCCCCCTGGCTCCCTCCGCACTCACCGCGCGGTCCGGGGCGCGCACGCGCCGCCGCAGCCGGCGTGCTGTGGGGGGCCCCCAGTCCCGCCCCGCCCCTCCCTCGGCCCCGCCCCACCTGCTGCCCGAAAGGGAGCCCTACTCCCTCCCCATGGGCTCCCCGTTCCATTAGTCCCCATTTAGCAGATGGGGAAACTGAGTCTCAGCAGCGGAGGCTCCTAAGAGCTTTGTAGCGAGTAAACCAGACCCTGGTGGTGTAGATGCGATCCAGCCTCTGAGTGCTGCCTCGAGCCCCCTTAGTGCATCCTGACTGTCCCCAGCCCTGCAGCAGGATCGAGTGTCTACTGGGGACATAGGACTAAACAGGTTCTAGGAGTCAGGAAGTCGTGAAGGGCTCCCACAAGGACTTGGCTAACTCTCCTGACTGGTGCTCCTAGGTGGTATTAAAAAACTACAGCTGACCAGGTAACTAGATGCCAGACAAGAGGTGAAGTCAGACTAGTCTTGCAGCCATGCAAAGGGTGGGCATCATGACACACCCAGCCCCAATACTAGTCTGAGATCACTGGGCAGAGCCCAGATGAGAACCACAAGCCTCCTTGGAAGCCATGGGCCTTTACGTGGGGAGACCTACCAGGGATCTCTCTTGACACCCCTTGTCACTGCCTTATTCAAGATAGTCAGAACCACCCCTGGTGTTCCTCCTATAAGCTGACCGAGCCCAGGCCCTGCCCCCCAGACTTCTGAATTGGTCCTCTTTCCTCTCTCCCAGTCTCCATTTCTGAATTCCTTCTGCATTTCTATTGCCTCTGTGATTATCCTAGCTCTGAAGGTGCATAAGCTAGTCAGTTTCTCCAACCCTAGCCACGTCTTGGTTAACATATGTTTCTGGGCATGCTCCCTGCAAGGCAGAACTCCTGACTGCTGTCCAGAAGAGTGGGGGACTCACCTGTGGTCCGGCCTCCAGTCATCCCCTGGGTACCAGTGGCAGCTGTTCTTATGAGCAGACGGAACAGCCAGAGTCTTGCCGCTTCTGGAGGCTGTGGGTCAGAAATGGAGTATGAATTGGGGCCTTGCTTACTCTCGCCCAGGCTTCCGTATAGCTACAGTGTTTCAACCTGCTCCAGACCTGCAGACCCTTCTGCTTACCCATCATGTCCCAGGTTAATCTGGCCTGGTTCCTAGAAGCAGCCCCTGACCACAGAAAGCACCGGTTTGATCTACCCAGCTCCCCACCACTGGTCAAATGTGACCCTGCTGAGTAGAATGGGTGTTCCCCTCCCCTCCAGAAGCCGAGTGCAGTGTACAGACTATGCACTAACAGGAAAGGCCTAGCCCCTCAGAGCTCCGGGGTCCACCTTGGTCGGTGCACAAGAGCTGAAGGGAGGGATTTCTGAACACGGCCTCTTCTCTGTTCATTGGCTACTACCCTGCACTAGGAATCCTCCTGTCAAATGGGACTACTGTTGTAATGGGGTTCCTGGGTCTCCTGCCCCCCCCCCAAACCCATGCAAGTCATTTATCACCCAGTCTCAGCAGTAAAGAACTGCACCGGATGCCAAGGTGGGGAGAACCCTGCACAGCTTTTGCCCATATTAGTTCCTAGAGCTGTGGTCATTTGAACCTTTGGCCAGCAGCGGGTCTCTTTCCACTGTCTGTCTGCAGAGGGCAACTTAGGTGCTTTTAGGTGGTCTTCTCTGCCTGAATTTACCTAGGCGGAGACCTAACCATCTTCTAGTCTGAAAAAGGTGTGCTTCCCAGAGATGCCCCTGATTGGAGAGAGGGTCCAAGAAGCCCCTCTATGGTTTGGGGGGCTGAGAACAGGGCTCGGGTACTAGGCAGAGGGAGCACAAGAGGCTTCACCAGGAGCCAAGATGGAGCGACAAGATCATCCAGGTGACTCCAACTGCACCTCATAAAGCTTCCTAAGCCTGAAGCCCAAAAGAGATGGGCTCATCCTAGCCCCTATTCGTGCCCCTCGATGTGCACAGCTCATCCAGGTTACAACATGGCTTTCGGGTTCCCACTCTAGAGGCTAATTTCCTGGCCAGCATCCCCATTCCCCAGGAACGCAAGCTTAGGAGACCACAGCCCTGTTTCAGTGGAGAAGAGGACATAAGCCTTGATCAAGGGTCCTGCTGGGCTGAGCTCTGACGCCTAGCCAGGGGATCCTCCCAAGAGAAAGAGTGGGGCCAGGAGGCAGGTGGGTGGGGTGCCAAGCTGCTCTCAACTTATCCTTGCATGGGTTGGTTCCATGCTGCTGGGCATCCAGGGCTGAGGTATGGAGTCCTGGCTTAGCCACCCAGAACAAGTGCTGGGCTAACAGGCCGTAAGGTCTCCTTAGCTAGATCGGAATGGCTAACAGTGAGGACCCAGCTGATGGGTACTGCAGCCATCTCATATGGGTCCTGGGGCACTCAAGACCCACACCACCCGCTTTCTACCCTGCAGGGCCATCCTGCATACCTGATGCCGCCCAGGCCTGGCCATGGCCATCTCTGCTGCTTCCGTGAAGCCAATCATGCACCCTGCCCTTCAAGGGAGCGTCTGCTGCCCAAGACCCCTCTTGAGGTCTGCCCGCCTTGTCCTGTCAGCTTCAGCCTTCCTTGTGGCCCGCACAGCAGCCTGCTGGTGCCCAGAGGCTCCTCCCGAGCAAGGAAGGGTGGCTTTTTATGCTCCATCCCGTGTAAATCGGGATTGGGATGGGCCCTTCCCGCCGGACTTCCTGTGTGTGTTCTCTGCTGATAACAGGGATCCGTCAGTGAACAAACAGGAGGCCAAGGGGCTGAGGGGGGCATTAAGGGAGGGGGACCGACCAAGGTGTGGAGGAGGGGGTTGTTGTTCCCCTGGGACTCCAGGGTCTAGCTCTGAAGCAGCCAGAGCCCCAGCCTGTGTTCAGGGACAACCTGGCTAGTGACGGTGTGAAACAGATAGTGTGACCAGGTCCTTCCCATTACACAGAGGTAGCAGGACCGTAAGACTCCGTCCATGTGGGTGACAGAAGGGGTCTTCTGCTTCTTTGGGACACAGGAGCTTGGTTGCTCCCTAAATGGATGTGACACCATGTAGGTCCCCGAAAGGGGAAGCCTGCCCCCCTGGAGCTGTGACCAGGACACATGGGGGTGTGCATTGGATGGGAACTGGGAGTAGGCCAGGCAGATGGTCTGGGAAGAGCTTGTTCTGTGTGGCTCCCAAGGCCCAGGACTGGGGCAAACACCGAATCAGGCTCAGCTCAGACTCTCCTCGATCCCAGGCTTTCCTTCCAGGAGAGCTGCCCAGGCTGACAGGGAGCCAGCCCCCTGCCTCCAGAGGTGTGTAGGCAGATGGAGCTGAAAACCTCCAGGCCCAGTTGACACAGGGGCTCTGGGATGACTATCCCTACGACCTGGGGAGCAAAGGGTGCTCTTAGCCTCTCCTCCCCTCCCTTAGTCCCAGCAGGCTGTGAAAGAGAGAGGTCATTTGGTGGCAAAAATGGGGCTCTGTAATTCCCTACGGTCCCGGTCCCCAGTGTGACATTCAGCAGTAGGAGACCCGCGTCAGACACAGAGGCCCTGTGGAAGTGGATGGGAGGAGTGCAGTGCCAAGGGCCAGGCAGCTGCCAAGAACATGCCCAGATCTCGGTGACTGAAGACACCCAGAGTGAAACTTTTTCACCCCTGTCTGTCCCTAATGATACCAGCCTGCCCGATGATGTCGGGGCATCTTTTCTGTGCCCTAACACTCTCCCACCCCACCCAGCTGGACAACTTGGGCTAGGATGGAGGTAGGGAAAGCCTGGGAGCTTCCTGGTGGAGTGTTAGGTTGGAGATACTGCCCCCACCCTGCTATTGCTTGCTTCACATTGTCAGCACCCCCCCTCTAACCTGGCCAGGGGAGGGGACTCCTGGAGGCCTCAGCCTGTGGGCAGGGAACAGAGTTCCAGCCAATTAGGATAACACACTTCTTCTCCCAGAGCTCAGTTTCCCCATTTGTCCCAAGGGGACAGGAGAGGTATTGGTCAACAACAGAGTCATGATGGTTAAAGGGGCTCACGGCATTCAAATGTTGCTGGTCTGAAGGTCTAGAGATAGGTTTTGGAAAGTGTTCTTGTCTTAAATTCAGACCTGCGAGGTGGAGACCCCATTCCCACCTCCTCCTCCTCCAAGCACACACACTGGCCCCACCCTCAGCCCTCCATTGCCTTGCTCTTCTTGGACTCTGTTTCCACCCGAGGGCTCATACCGTCGACAAGGGCCAGAGTATCCCTCTCTCATGTCACCTGGGCCTGCCCCTCTGTATCCCAGCTCATGAACTGAGCCATCTGCCTTTCCCTTGTCTCAGCAAACATTGGACTGGTTAGGTCCAGATCCTTTCGTGTACTGAAAGGGAAACTGAGGCTCATAGAGGAAAGGGACTTGGCCAGGTGATCAGTGAGGTGGACCAGAGCTGAACCAGGTTAATTCAGGAACACCCCCCCTCCTTCCCTCAGGGAATCAAATCAGTCTGGGAAAAGTCATCAGACTTGGCTGGGCCAGCAGGGGCGGAGGTTACAGAGTTGTAATCCACCCTCCTACTGGTGCTCAGTGCTTAGGGAAACTGCCCAACTTACAGGTGTGGAGACAGGCTTCAAACCAGAGTCCCGTGGGTCTGCCTGTGGAGATCTGTGAAGGGCCGCAAGCCAGTGGGGGTAGTCTGCTAGTCTGTTGTCCGTGTGTCCACCTTCCTCTCCTGACTACTCTGCCTTCCCCTACCCCAACCTGGTCAAGACTGGGACAGAGCCAAGAAAAGAGATCCTTGCT